CCAAGTTCCGTCCAAACATCAAATAGGCCTACACGATGACAGACATAACACAGCAATTCGCTAATAATCAACTAATTAAGTCGGTCAACAGATACGCAAAAACAAATTCATGACACCATTACCAAACTTTTATTTTAATGTAACCTTCAATGTACCCTTCATGTCTTATTTTTTTTTTCATTGTCATCAGTTCGTATCACTCTTATTGTTTGCACATTGTCCCATTATTCCGGCCCGGTGTCTCGTTAGGTAATCTCTACAGTTATCAACCCCTTTTGTATCTCCTAACTCGAATATGCCATGCAAGTGTAATATCGTACTCACCTAAACAGCGTACGAGCAAGAAATTAATTGCGAGGGCAAAGGATTTATCCGTTTCTTTCACTGACCTAGGAAAATGAAATATAAATTAAGCGCACGGTACTTAGAGACTCTATATTCCAGGCACCCAACATGTCTTGGTATGAGTTACGTTTTTTACTGAGTTCACTGGTAAAATTTCTCGACCCTTATAAGTTGATTATCGGGACTATCGAGGTGGCTTATATCATGGTTATTTGCCAGTTTAGACCGAATTTATGGGCGATAAAGTCGTCAACATTGGGCAACCGCATACCTGATTGTCAACATAACAGCAGGAATTTCTCTAGCACCAGACGTAATGGCGAAGAGAAACAATATGACAGCAAAGATGTAGAATGAAGGACAGGTCTGGCCTTCTTGGCATGCACCGTCCATTGCATGCATGTCTTCTGTGTCGTTTGATTTAATACACGAACAATCAATGTACGACTGAAAAACATCAATATTATGTTATCATAACTTTACTATCTGAAGGATCAACTTAGGCCCTCCACTGGCCCTATATCGTTAATTTCACAATTGTATAGTATTCACAAGTTTTGTAATGAGTACACGTTTATTATTTATACAACCTGTCCCAGTTATTAAACAGACTTACCCCATTATCGTTCATTTGCGTACACCCAGCATAGCAAGGTGACATATACGTTTCTCCATTGGAACCACACACAGGCCGATACACACCAATCGAACAATGACAGTTCTCGTTACAGGGCAATGTATTCTTGCCTCCCATCTCACTTTGAAAATAATGGATACAATAGTAAGCATATCAAACACTGACAATTAGAAGTAATATATTCATTTTGCCCCAAATAACGACGCCGTCAGATCAAATTGTAGGCAATGACACAATTGAATTTCAGCATATTTAACTGTAGTTCATTAGATTCCTCTCATTGCCTCTCACATATCCACCCTCCCTTTCGACACAATTCAGTTTCCTCTTTCTTTCAATAGTGTAAACCAAAATTTTTATAGATTGTCATATATTGTCCCTAAATGCCTTGTTAACATTTAAACTGAATTATTAAACAAAAATGTGTGCACTATATTGTCAGTGAATTGTTTTTAAATTGTTTTTATTTTACCTCACACCGTTAATATCCACGCTGTTACATCCAAATGGAAACATCATCGCACAGAATATAATGGAAGTCCCTACGATAACCACGAGGAATTTGGCAATTCCAAATTCACCCAGCTTGAATCGATTGATCGCATATCCGCCTAGAAACGTTCCGATTCCATAAGGAGCTGTACATGCCAAAGCTGTTTGAAAATTTGAATTCAGTAATATTAATAAATATTATTAATTACTATGGTGAGCATTCTAATAAAATACTATCAAATACAAGAGAAATGACGGTATGTACATCGTAGTGAGGTTTGAAACCGCACAAGCCGGAATATTTAAGTTTGGTCTATATGTTTGAACCGTTGTGTAAATTGTCGACCCGTGTTTGACTGTGTCTGTAAACATTTGATGAACTAGTAATACAACAAAATCCCATTCGCACGCATGGGCATGTCTGTTATTCATACTTCCACTTTAACACTAGAAACACTTAATAAAACGTTATCGACAATTTTTAGAATGTGAAAAGCGAACTTCAGTTAATCCTAAAATATCGATAGGTGAGTACCTGTTGTGGCATTTGCAGCTATGGACGACAAATTAAACTGGACCTCAAGGTATTTTGGAAGAAACATAAGGATCCCCATAGCGACGCCAAGATCAAACGCGAATGCCACAGTTACTAAGATGAAGTAAGGATTCAACACTAATCTGCATAATGTTCTTGGAAAATCTGTAAATTATACAAACAATAGTGTGTATTACTGCTACTAAAAACATTGAGTTAAACATGTTCAAATTGACAATTTTCTTTTGTTTTTGTGACACCAAGCTCAAAATCATTGTTATTCGTTTACACTAGTCGTTGGAAAGATACTTCAATATGCATGTATATTTTTTTCATAATTATCTGTACGTTTTGTATACTTTTGTATTAGTATTTTTCTTCTACAGACAATTTTGACCAGCATCATAGTTGCTCACGATTGACTCGTAGAAGAACTGCTCTGGTAACAAAAAACAACAAATCAATCGAAATAAATCAATAATAAATCAAGACTAGGGTAGTCTCCGAAGAGAACTACGTTTCTTAAATTAGTTTTTCGAAAGTTTGGTCCATCGTTTTTTCAAATTAATAAATATTACAAACACAATGTAGTGTGAACCAAAGTTAATACAAATGACTGTACTACCCTGTGCCCTGGACATAGAGCAAATAAAAAGGGACAAAATGGTTTATCTGCCACACCTGCGGCAGTCGAATAAAATCAAAGCAGGGATGGTACTGAAAAACAGTTTGGATCATCCACGATACTGCCACATACAATGAAGGATACAAAATGTCAAACCCCAAATACAGTATAAAAAGAGTTCAAAATGTTCCCTTTATGCTACCAGTTCTAAATGCTGATGAAATTAGAGGAGACTCCAGAGATGGTCTGTCGATGTAAATCGCTGATTGGTTTCTACGACAAGTGGAATAACAAACATTGAATAGAATCACTAGGTTTTCTAATCAATTGACACTGAACAAAATATTCCTTAGACCCACGTGCCTATGCGGGAGATGCGCATCACGATATCAATGAATACAATCACTAACACTGCACCATATCATGCATTTATAGTTAGTGGGGTTATCAGACGTTCAAAAAGCTATCATCAGACTATCATCTTTTAACTCGAGCATAATCGAGTCATTCCATAATACAAAAGTGTTCCATTTGTTGTGTAAGTATTAGTTGGTATGAAGTAACACCCATGAATGTATTATTGCAGATTTTGACATGCTGACCAATAATTGCACAGCTCTATGCTCCAACAAGCATTCAGTCACTGAGTGAACATACCCCACAGGCCTTCTGTCCATGAAGACTATTTTTCTAATGACGCTGGAGTTGAAGTGAAATCAAGGATATGATATTTGAAAATCTAAGGCACTTTACATATAATATGTATAGACGATAACGTATTCATATTGACGGTTAAACCAGAAGCAAATTCACATATGTTCAGAAATGCAGGAAAATAGGCATCATACTAGAATACAATGTTTCTTTGGTAGTGGGTCCAGTCATTTTTTTACTGCCAGATGGATCACGAATGCCAGTAAATATGCTTGAACAATCATTCGCCCTGTGCACCAATACATGTAACTTAAGCTCTATAACATCCCATGTGGGTTCATGCTAATCAAATTCTGTCAATCAGTGTTTATTTGGAAATGTGGGCAGCCTTAACTAAGACACCTATAGTAAGAAAACAATGGCCTTCACAAACTTAATTCTAAACAAAACTTCCTATGGTGATAGAGTTTCTAACATGTTTAGTTATTTCACATTCTCTAAATGCAAACATAATTGCTCTAATACCAACATGGTTTCACTAGTAAAGCAATAATGGACCTTTAGACATATTCCGTAAGTTCAAACCTTGGAACTTACGCATGTATTAAATTGACTACTTCGTCATTCGATGTCACTCATAGCTACAATATGTAAAAAACAGTGTAACGAGACAAACCTTTTAGGCTTCGAATAAAACCACTACCAGTAGCTTGAACATTTTTCAGGCTTTCTTCGTCTTTATCAGCTTGTTCATCCTTTTTATAATTAGTATTTGTTTTCCTGGTAATTGGCTTTAAGCGATATTTTTTCAAATCTTTTGGCACAAACCAGAATGTTAACGCACAAATAACCATAGGAGGTATAAGAAAAGCGCCCCCTAACCACCAAGCACCGATCCACTGAGGGTCACCTAGCTTAAGGTAGACAGTTTCCATGTTTACCCGATTAATGTCGACAAACACTGAAGTACACCCAGCTGCGATGATGAAACCAATAATTGGACCAAAACCCCACATCATATTAATAATTCCTAAAATGATAAATTTATGTGATATTATACATACAAATATTTACTGCGATTTAATTGAATATTACGAAGAAATGACCAAATCGTGGAAAAAAATGAACACAATAAACTATTTCCAAATTCTTACCAAATATATTGGTCTGCATTAGTTTGCAGAAATTGAGAATGACAGTGAATGTAGATACTTACCAAGATATATCGCAGTTGATGTGTGTTTTGTCGAGTCATCTACAAAGGCACTTCCCAGGGTTAAAATAGGACTATATCCAACTCCCAGCAAGAGGGCGCCGATAAACAGGTATAGGTATGCTGACTGGCTTTCATCGGCTGCAGTTTGCTCCTCTAAATCACAACTCCAAGTTTCTTCTAAAAGAGAGCCATTTGCATGGTCTGAATTTTGTGGTCGCTGCTGACACATGTTCGTTTCTGTGGTTGCATTCGTGATTGTTGAGTCGTTACCTGGAGTTTTGTACACGTATGGACCGAGAGTGAATTGAGGCAGAGAGGTAATCAACATTCCAGCTGACATGACTAAAGTTCCGGTGCCAATCCAACGTGGTCGATGGCTGCCCGGGAGACCACCGAAATATCCACACAGTGTGATCGTGATAAGTGTACCAGCTTGGTTAATACTAGTGAAAGAGCCAAGTTGGCGGCTGCTTAAGTTATAGCGACGTTCAGTAGTTGTCAGCACCCCCATATTGTAGGCTAGCATCATTCCAATACATGCAACGGTGATGGTTAGAATCCCCACGAAGAATCTCACATCACTTATGAAACGTTGGTGGCAGGCTAACTGTCGCGGCATTTCCACTGCCTCCTTGCGTGGTAGCATGCTGTCCAGTGCCCCCATTCCTTGAGTAACTAACGCATTTTTGCCATCAACCAGCCTGTCACTATTTTTCCCATCTGATGATTTCCCATCAGTGTTCTTGACTTCTCCCAGAGGTAGAGAATCCGTTTCATTATGCTTTGTGTGCATGTTGCTATGGCGAAAATCTTTACAAATATAAACATTTACAACTTTATCTCACATATAAATTTAAATCATTTTACACAAAATATAAACATTACATAAATTTATTCATCCCCAACCTTTTTTTTTAAATCGCATCTGTAATACAGCTTTCCTATAAATCGCTACCCTTTTTGGCGGGTGTGATCGTTTGACAGTAATTATTTCATTGACGGAGGAACACAGTTTCCTACATCACGCATAAGCGATTCGTTGCCATAGAGGGCGCAAATTACATTACTGCTGCATTCATTAATAGGACGTCGTGTATACTCATCGACACTAAATTGTTCTTAAATCTTTCAAACTCAAATTTATGTCATCATTCAAATAAATAAACCTGTTTTTTCAGATTATTTTGTTAATTTTGGGTAATTCCAGATGGTAAAAAATAATAACGAAGGTAAAGGTGCAATGTGAACGATGTTTGTTGATGGCTATAATGGACTATGATTTAGTATGACCTGAACACACCGTTTTGTAGCACATCCCAGTATTCCTTAAAATTATCTCATACGTGTTTGTACAGTTGTTTGGTGCGCACGGTAACAGTCACCGCATATGTGTATTAGTGGTTCTGATTCTTCATCTAACGAATACTGTTCCGTGTCTTGTAAACGCAACATTTTAGTTTAAGATACATAATAATATAATTCAATCTACTGTTTGGAGTATCAAAAATCAACATTAGTGGGTGCAAATATAAACAATGTGACAACGGAAACGATGCTATCGTCGGTAAAAGGTTCGTTCAAGATAGGTACACTGTGAATATATTTCTCAACATTGAAGAGACTTTTCGAAACTGAAGCCTATTGCGTATAGTCTTGTTTTTTCTTGTTAAGCATAAATGATCGATCTAATCAGCTAAGAATATGGCTGTCACGGTGTGGCTACGTTCAATATGTTTCTATAGATTTGCATTCCTGGTGTGTTTTGAACAGATTTCTAATTTTCTTGTCTGTTCCAAAGAAGACTATTCTATTTCGAACTTACGATATATGAAGATATGAAAACAGATTTAATTATTATTAATTATTATTATTATTTTGTGGAAGCATACATTTTACCTCAGAATCTGTAATAGACTACTATATAATAAATAATATACTTTACAATGTATGTGACTTTGTATGAATGGCATGGATTCATATTTACAGACTGCGTGTTGTGTAAACATATATTATTTATAAAAAGTGTACCACCGAAATTACAAAATCATGATATTCAATTTGAACAACTAATGTCCGTCAACTAACACCTTGATGAACTGACCGTTAATACCTTTAATTCAGATCAAGAAGAACTGACAGTTACTACCTTTATTTCAGATCGAGATGAACTGACAGTTACTACCTCATAAATTCAGATCGAGATGAACTGACAGTTACGGCCAATAATTTAGATCGAGATGAACTGATCGTTACGGCCTTTAATTCAGTTCGAGATGAACTGACAGCTACGGCCTTTTATTCAGATCGAGTTGAACTGACAGCTACGGCCTTTAATTCTGATCGAGATGAACTGATCGTTACGGCATTTAATTCAGATCGAGATGAACTGACAGTTACGGCCTTTAATTCAGATCGAGATGAACTGACAGTTACGGCCTTTAATTCTGATCGAGATGAACTGATCGTTACGGCATTTAATTCAGATCGAGATGAACTGACAGTTACGGCCTTTAATTCAGATCGAGATGAACTGACAGTTACGGCCTTTAATTCAGATCGAGACGAACTGACAGTCACTACCTTTAATTCAGATCGAGATGAACTGACAGTTACGGCCTTAAATTCAGATCGAGATGAACTGATCGTTACTACCTTTAATTCAGATCGAGATGAACTGACAGTTACGGCCTTTAATTCAGATCGAGATGTACTGATCGTTACTACCTTTAATTCAGATCGAGATAAACTGACAGTTACGGCCTTCAATTCAGATTGAGATGAACTGACCGTTAATACCTTTAATTCCGATCGAGATGAACTGACAGTTACGGCCTTTAATTCAGATCGAGATGAACTGACAGTTACGGCCTTTAATTCAGATCGAGATGTAGTGATCGTTACTACCTTTAATTCAGATCGAGATGAACTGACCGTTAATACCTTTAATTCAGATTGAGATGAACTGACAGTTACGGCCTTTAATTCAGATCGAGATGAACTGACAGTTACGGCCTTTAATTCAGATCGAGATGAACTGACAGTTACGGCCTTTAATTCAGATCGAGATGATGACAGTTACGGCCTTAAATTCAGATCGAGATGAAATGACAGTTACGGCCTTTAATTCAGATCGAGATGAACTGACCGTTAATACCTTTAATTCAGATCGAGATGAACTGACAGTTACGGCCTTTGATTCAGATCGAGATGAACTGACAGTTACGGCCAATAATTTAGATCGAGATGAACTGACAGTTACGGCCTTAAATTCAGATCCAGATGAACTGACAGTTATGGCCTTAAATTCAGATCGAGGGGAACTGATAGTTATGGCCTTAAATTCAGATCGAGAGGAACTGATAGTTACGGCCTTTAATTCAGATCGAGATGAACTGATAGTTACGCCCTTTAATTCAGATCGAGATGTACTGATCATTACTACCCTTGATTCAGATCGAGATGTA